AAAAAAGAGAAGCCCGGGATGAACTTTAGTAGACATATTATGGTCCACTTTACTTATACCCCCAGCTTAGCACGTTTCGGGTCAAAGTTCCATCAAATTTGGCAAGAGATCTTTGAAGAAACCCCACTGAGCGATATCTCAATTATTTTTGCCCATAGATTAACGGATAATTTAAAGAAAATATTAGTTCATAAGAAACCACCTAAGACAGCAGTTAAGGCACTAGTAGAGGAGTTAGAACGAGAATAGGATAAGATAGTAGAAGCCCCCCTCCCCCTCTTTTTCGTTTTCTATTATAGTGTCGTCAATAACATCGACGACAACAACGAAGGACCTGGCCGATTTTGTTTTTAGTCCTTCGTTCGGTTTTTTGTTTTTTATTTTTCGTTTTCTATAGTTTCATATATCTTTTGTAATTGTGTGAACTTTTTTATGTGATAGGGGTTTTTGAGCTTAGTCCCTTCGTGGCACCCACAGTATTGAGATTGCCCTTTGAGTTAGAATATACTGAGAATTTACTAAGAAAAAGATAGAAGTAGAAAGAAAAAAGAACGACATCTATCCCCCTCCAATGAGAATAGTGACCTCTATTAAGAAAGAAAAATTCCCCATTGGACGAGAGTAGAACAAAGGAACGAGAGCAGATAAATAGAAAGGAAAAGAAAATAGATAGTCATTCATAGCCTGAAGAAAATTCGAAACGCGTCGCTTATTCGTATTATACATTCATTTATTGTTAAAATCAAATAAAATTACATTAAAAATTAAATATTACATTAATTATATATTACATTAAAAATATTACAAAAAAAGTTTGCTCTCGTCTCATTCTAAAAAAAGATTATTTTTTCCAAACCAAAAATAACCTAAATTTTTCTTTTTTCTTGACTCCTAAAAACTAGTTGTTTATTTTCTATCCTAAAATTATTTATTTCATCCATTTTCTTATATAAAATTATTTTCATTCATTTTTCTCCACATAAAACTACTTATTTCATTTATTTCTCTACATAAAAATTATTTATCTCATCTATTTCTAAATCTAAAACATTTCTCAATTTTCATTCATTTATTTACTCAAAGTATTTGCTCAATCTCATTCATTTATTTATTATTTTTTCCTTATTGTCTATTATTTTAATTATTGTCTAAATTTACTTAAAAAAAAGGGTGCATAATCTTTCATTCAAATTTTCTTATCTAAAATATTCTTACTGATTTACTTATTCATTGAGATTTTCTTGATTTTCCATCAGAAAAACAAATTAATTCCTCATTTTCTCATTTGAAAAATAAATAAATCCATATTATTATTCAATTTCATTCAGTTTCTCTTAAATTTATTTAAAACTTTATTTATTTCTTGCGCAAATTGTCAAAAAAACATAAAACTAACCAAAAACATTTAAAAGATACTTTAAAAACTAAAACAAAAACAGAATAAAACAAAAACTAATCTAAAAAACAAAGTTCATTTGCTTTTTTCTCAAAGTTCTTAAAAAGAGTTCATTTATTTTTCATTTATCTAAAAATTATTTATTTATTTATTTATTTATTTTTGTCTCTAATTTGGTCTTCTTTTTTTCACAATATTGTTAATTCGCTTTTTTCATTTAAATTACACCCACACCCCACACCCACACCCACACCCACACCCCATATCGACAGAAAAATGGTTGATAAATATTTTGAAGAGTTGTGAACAGTCAAGAACATGTTATATAATATGAGTTAGTGTTAATATTATTACAGTTACCAAATGCAGATAATGAAAAAAATTGATTTATAATTTTTTCTGCGTAGCAACTATAGGTTGTTGTTTTATTCAGTTTGAAAACATAGTCATCTGCTACGAGTAAAGATTTTCCTGTATTTGAATTTATAAATGAAAAGCTAAAGATACTGATCGGGTTACGTCACTTTAAGATGTCGCAGTTTCAGTCGTGATGATAGAATTTTAGTTAATATAATAGCTCTTCACTTAACTCTCCTATTTAATTTTTATCAGGTATTAGTCGTCAAAATCACGATTGCTTAAACTTCTATACTATTAGAATTACGAGAAAAACAACAATGAACTAGACATGATTAGAGTTACAATCTATTGGATACATGATCTTTTTCGATATTTTTCTGTTACGATATTCTTCTACTTCCATATTTACTTTTCGACATTTCTCCTCTTCTAGATTTTTTCTTTCGGCATTTTTCCCTTTCGATATTTTTCCTTTCGACATTTTTCCTTTTCGACATTTTTCCCCTTCGATATTTTTCCTTTCGACATTTTTCCCTTTCGACATTTTTCCTTTTCGACATTTTTCCCCTTCGATATTTTTCCTTTCGACATTTTTCCCCTATTTTTTTCGACATTTTTCCCTTTCGACATTTTTCCAACACACCCAAATGACACTTGTTCACTTCAATATGCGATATTTGAACGAGAAAGCATGCAAAACTATTTCCTAGACAAACATTTTTATCATGCGTTTGCACACATGCATGCCTCAAGATGTGTCCTGATCTCCTGATATTCTTATCAATAGGCAACAGTTTGAGCGGATGCCTAAGCCGTGCATAGCTGTTAAGTGATTAATGCGCTGAAATGATTTTGAATAGTCGATGGTAATATAAATGTGATCCATCTTTTGCTGATGTTATGCATCAACATTATGAAACGTGTTTTATGAAGGACATATCACAATATCTTCCATTAATAAATTCTTTTTTAAGCAAGAAGGCACACCGATTTTAATTCAGCACAAGGATTAACTTTAAACGCATCGTTTTGTATTTTTTATAAAACAGCATGTTGATTAGTTTAGAGAAACAGACCACTGTGAAAAGGAAGATATTGATAATCACTAATATTAAATCAATAGTTGCTCACAAGCACTTTTCAATGGAATAGGACAGTGGAGATGGTTGCAAAATGTTCATCACATCAATATTCATTATGAAAATGCTTTAACACTGAAATAATTGGATAGTTTGGATTTATTTTCATTGTCTTTGATTTTTTTGATAGATTATTCTATATCTATTTTGTTAAATCATATGAAGTTTAATATTCTTTAAAGAATATAGTGGTTAAACGATTTTATTACATCAATGGAATATTGCCATAATCACATATGCTGAATAATCCTGTTCATATTCAAAGATCGATAATGAAAATGCCATTGGTTCGCTAATCTACTCTTTTAAGTTTTAATAATAAATCTAAACTTTTCATTTTATTTCTTTCCTAATCAAAGTCGATATGTACAAATCTATTTTTTCGTTAAATTTTTTTTCAAATATTATTCAGTTTTATTAACAAAAATAGAACTAGTTGGATCCATGATACATGTTGAGAGATATTGACGAATAAAATCTGTTGAAATATTCATTGTTGTTAATTGTTCTAATGTTAATGTATCTTTTGTTTTATTAAAAAATAATGAATGAAACATTGTTGGTTGTGTTGTTTCAATACGAATATCAAAAATCATTTGGTGAATAGATATTTATTGGAAAATAATCACATAATAATTTTAAACATTGATTAAGATCTTTATCATTAGTAAATTTAACACGAAATGAACATATTAAATTTGTTGATGAAGATGTTGGTGGTCATGCATAATTGAAGAGAACACTTTTACGATGAATATGAAAATGTGTACAGTTAAACATTAACCAAATATTCATGATAATTGAAATCTAGATTCATTAAGGACTCACAAAAACAATTGACATCGAGTTAGACGATGGAATATATCCAATTGTCAGACGTCATTCGACCACATGTTATGACTATGAGCAGGGCTCCATGAAACTAAGAAAAAGATTAAAAAGATTCGGATCCAATAACTTGCTGATGAAGAATTACTACCGTTTTAATGAAGTTTCTATTGAGAACAAACCATTTTTGAAAAATTCAAAACAAAGTGTGTCAAGTTGAAATTTTATCTACAGGTACGTTTGATAATTTCTGGCATCCCACCAACAATCCATAGAAAAAGAGAAAAAAAGAGGAACGTCATTTGCAGAAAAAAAAAAGAGGAGTTTCAATAAGAACGAGGCGCATTTTTCGCTTTCGAAATAAGAACAAAGGCTACTGCGAGGTTCGAAAGTCAATAAATTTGAGCGCCGTTAATCTGGATTCAATACAGACTCGACAAAATCGAAAGATGAAAGTGATATTCAGTTCTTGACATTTGCGGTGGTATTTTTTCTGCTGAACTCAAAAAAAAGAGAACTACAAAAACCAGACAAAAATGGCAGGGTCTACTGCCAAAGTACTTGACTGTGATATCGCTTTTTCCGAGTACTCGTAGATAAAGAAAAAGAAATTAAAAAGAAAATCACTGAATATTCAGAATGTGTTCAGTTTATAAAAGCACGAGAGCATAAATAGGGTGTGAGTATGAAGTATGGTTGTGAGTATGGGATGTGGGTTTGAGTCTTCTTTTCAGCCACACCCATACTCATCCACACCACAGCCTTGTCTCTAAACACAAGCGAACTTTCTCATCCTTCTCTGCATTTTCCATAATATATTCACACAGTGATACTGTTTTGAAGACCATTTGATAGCATGAAAAAGTTGGTCACATAGCAGGACAAAAGATCCTTTTGCACAACGATCTATTCATTCCGTTTTTTTACAAAGCATACCCAATGCATTTGGTATATGAAATATGTTGTCAAATATGATACACACGTTATTCATGCGAACAAAATTAATTTTAATAAATCTTGCCACATGTTATCCAGTAGAAATGAAATGAAAAAAAAAAGATACTTGAAACTCATATGTTGAACAAATCAATAGCAAATTAAGCGCATAATTTCCGAAATCAATAATATGCTATCAATTTGACTTCATATAATCCGCTTTATGATTTCTCTGGAAAACATTGATTAAAAAGTAGAAGGTCATTTCTGAGAGAAATCCAACATACGGCTAGGATTGGTGTGGGTGTGAGTGTGCGGCTACGGATGCCTATGCGCAACGAGCCAAGACACTCACACCATCCACACGCACTGCTACACATCACATCACCCCACACATACATCCACACCCAGAAATTGAGGGTGTGGGTGTGGATTTACGCGTTGGTCTCCTTCTAATCCAGACTCACACCCACACCCACACCCACACCAACAACACACAAAGATACTAGTCTCGCTAACAAACAAGATCACTATTAGCTAATGTTAATAGTTTATTAACGATTTTATTTGTATGAAACAATTAAACTCCAAGACACAGTTAATTTCAAATTGTTTAAATTTTTTTTATTGATTTTCCCACAATTGGTATACAATGGCAAACATCAGCAAAGACATATAATTGTCTTCCTTTTAGTATACTTTGTTCAGATTGAATAAACAACGATTTGAATATTCTGTTTCCAAAGTATACATCGAATGTCTCGTCTATTCAAATCTATATTGTTTAAATCTAACAATTTTATATCAATTTCAACTTAACATATTCAACCAATATGCAAACAAGCATGTTTTACTTTACTCAACTTATCGATTGTATCAAATCATGTTGTATTTTCACTATATTGTAAATAAGGAATAAAACGTATTTAAAATATATGTTACAGATGGCCATCGAATCGATTAAAACGAAAAATTTCCATTGTTCGAAGAGATGGACGAAAATCTGAAGTAAAAACACTAAAACCATTATTTCAAAACTACATTGTTTTTAATATAAAATTTCTGATAATCTTTAACATTCATTTACTTTCGCTTGCATGACAACAACAACCGCTATGTATTTGAATCAAACAGTATATAATTTTTACCAATATATTTCGAATTTCCCCTTCATCCATTCAGTGAAAATAATAATATCTCGATTAATCTGTAATTTTTTTTTCTTCTAATTCATAGAAGTTTGAACAAACTATTTTTTAATAAATAGTGATGTAATAAAACTGATGATGAATGCAGCATAATAACGTCAAACTTTATATTTCATCAATCAAATGAAAATTAATAAATATAATCTTTAATATTATCGTATGATTTTAAGGTGTTTCATTGGATATGACATATTGAAAAGAATATTAAGAAAAATTATTTCTTGCAGAATAACTGTATTGAGATTATTATTTTGAAGTATACAATAGAAAGATTTTAAATTAGTTTTGAACTATTGCTTTCTTACTACTGTTATTTGAAAAAAAAACATATTTCTACAATATGTTGAATGAAGATGATGAAGCAAGAAATACATTATATTGTTGTTGTACATTGATGATCTAAAATCATATATTATATAAACCGACATTATTGAATAAGTTCTCGGTTTACATATTGATATATGTAAGAAAAATGGTAGTTGAAATAGAATACTAATAACAGACTATAGGAGGGAATTCATTTGTAAATAATCGTTTATTATCTTAAGCCTACAATGTCACGAATAGATTTTTACTCATAATTATGAATTCATCATCATTGTCTAGATGAGAATTTTTGTAACATTTCATACCTTTGTATTAAGTCGAAAGAAAAATTTCAGTTAAAATGAAGCATTACAATACTGTTATAGAAGGTCTATGCCAGTAATAGCGGACATCTTGCAATTCTGTTCATATTCTTATTTTTCTTGATCGATCAGTTAGGATTCTTTTTACCTTATACTTCAGGCAAGAATATTTTTCTCCTTTCTGTTCAAATAATCAACATCATATCTAATATTTTTTTATTAAAAAAAAAAATCAAACAGGACACAAAGAAACTCTGAAAAAATTCTCCATGAAGTTTTTCCTAACATACATCAAATCATCATCTAGTAGATCCATGATCGATTCCTAATGAAATTATTGAATTTCAAGTAGTCACATATTGAGCTGACTTCCACCAGTGATCCTAGAAAAGCAACCTGTTAGAAATGATGAAATACATGTCTAGTTTCTGTTCATATCTGATCTCAAGGCATGATTTCAAGTTGCTTCATCAATCAAATATAAGATGTAATAAGTCTCATAACTGATATAAAATAAAGATCATGAATATTAATAAATTTTCAGTTGTTTTTATTAGAAATAACATGCATTATTCAATGTCAATGTCAGCAATACACGACTTTATTCATCAATATTATAAATAACCTTTGATTTTTTCAGTTTTCATTGTATTTATCAGGCAGTAATGTTTTATGTGAGATTACCATTGGATTGTTGTTTTCTTTTACATCTGGCTCTTGCTAACTTGCAAATCAATCTGCATTACACAGATTGGGTAAGTGAAAATAATCATGTATTGCAACACGATTGTTTGCGTGTACATGCTTCACTTGATAAATGGCATATTAGCCGTGAATTGATAACTTATTGTATGGATGATCTACCATCGAAATTTCATATAGAAAATAATCATATTTTTTCCAAGTTTACTTTTGCGGAACTTGCGAAAAAGAATATTACTAGTTATGAATTATATCTTTGGTCAGCGCCGATTGACGTGGCAGAGCGTTATCAACTCTATCTAAATCAAATGTCAATATCAAATAATCGATCTTTGGAAAGAGAAATTTTCTATAATTGTACATTGCCAAGATTTGGTTCGTTATGTCAATATGAAATTAACTATGTTCATAAAAACCATTCATCTCTATATGATATGATCAATGATTACTATGAAGAGCGATACGCCAGTCTTGATGTAAACTGTTATACTCATTTACAATGTAATCGTGGTCCATCACCAGCTTGTTTGGATTGGAGAGAGATTTGTGATGGTCAAGTTGATTGCATTGATGATAAAGTGGATGAAAAAGATTGTTGGAAAATTGAAATTCAGGTATGTCAAGATGATGAATTCCAATGCTCGAATGGACAATGTATACCTATGGCTTTTCATTATGATGATAATACTACGAATGATTGTGTTGACACGACAGATGAAGGTTTTGAAAGAATACACGAATCGTTGACCTTCATTTATGAACAGCCGTCATTTAAAAATGAAGAGAATCAATTTCTTTCGGTACCCACCGGAAATCTTAATTTCGGTATGCGTAGAAGCCATTTATTTCAAGCTTTATTTTTGGCTAAAGATAACTCTACATCCGAAGATTGTTGGTCAGCCCTTAGATCTACAATCAAACAATCGATATATGAGAAGCCATTTTTTAATAAGACATGCGTGAAACAAGAGTGTTTTGAAATCATTGAGAAAGAATGTCCAGATGTTTTTTATTTCCCTACTGTTCCAGTCTTTTCTAATGACATTCGACTGGCATTCAAGAAAGCCGATCTGTCAATTTTAGAGGATTCATACTATCCAGCAGCTTTCATATGTTACAATAGTTCTGATTATGAGTACTATGCTCCTCCTGGTGAAAAGTTTTTATTCAATAATGCAACCTGTTTCCGTCCTGACTACATACCGACTCTTAATACGATGAAATACACAATGGAAGAAGTATATCTGTCGCCTTTGCATGTATTCATATATGAAATGAAAGCATACTTTTTAATTTATAACTATACTTCTGAAATGTGTAATAGATCTAACATGTATCAGTGTATCAACTCTTTAAAATGTATCTCAAGGAATCGTCTAATGGATTATACAATGGACTGTCCAAAAGGAGATGACGAAGATCAAATGCATCTTATGGATGCTGGCTTGACAGACGGTTTAAAAAAACTTTTTGAATGCAAGACGGTTAACAAATATATTCATCAATCGTTAGTTAAAGATGGATTCTGTCACTGTGGCCCGAATCCCGTTTACTGTGAAGACGAAGATGAAAATGTTGATTTAGCTAGAACGAAGCTTTTATTTCAACACGTTTGTGATGGATTAACTCATCTGATTCCAATAAATAATGACAAACAAAATGAGACAGATGAAACAGAATGTGAACAGTGGCCATGCAATAACATTTATACTCATTGTGATGGCATTTGGGATTGTCCGAAGGGTGAAGATGAAATCGGTTGTTATTCGTTTACAACATTGAATTGTTCATCAAATCAACATTTATGTGTGTTGCCTGATACAAATCAATTTACATGTATACCACTTGAAAAAATAGCTGACAACAACATCGATTGTCTTGGTGCTACTGATGAACGAATACTATGCCGAAAATACGACTATATATACCAAAAAAAAATTTTCTTATGTAAAAACTCGAGTTTCCAAAGATGCATAAATCTTGATCATTTATGCAACGGTAAATTTGACTGTGAATATGGTGATGATGAAAAATTTTGTATGAAAAATCACACCTATGGACTATGTTACTACAGAGATTTTTCTCGTTTTGAAGTTGAAGAATTTTTCTGTAAAAAATTAGAAATCAAAAGCAAACGATTTATTAAATACTTTTCATTAGATGGATTGACCGAACTCAATACGGATAATCAAACAACTGGTATTAGACCATCAGGAATTATTCGACTTCCACAGCGATATGAACTTATGATGAACAGAAAGAATCCATGTTCTCGAGGTATTCAATTACGGGTTTGGCTCAATGAGCAAAATAATTCAATAACAAATACATGTCTTTGTCCGCCTAGTTATTATGGTAATCATTGTCAAAATCAAAATCAACGTGTCAGTTTAACTATGGCATTTCGAGTAATGTCTGATTCTCGATCAACATTATTTGCAATTATAATCTCACTGATCGATGATAGTGAACAAAGAATTATTCATTCATACGAACAATTGAGTTATTTATCGGTTAGAAATTGTAAAGCTAAATTTAATGTCTATTTAGTTTATTCAAATCGACCAAAATCTCAAACAAGAAATTATTCAATACATATTGACATTTATGAAAAAATTTCGCTAAATTATCGAGCAAGTTTCTTATATCCAATTAAATTTCCATTTTTACCAGTTCATCGTCTAGCATTTATTGTTATTATTCCAAGTTCAAAAGACTTTATTGAAAGTTGTTCAAATTCAAAATGCATTCATGGCAAATGTATTATATATTCGAATAGTCGAGATCATTCTACATATTGTCAATGTAATGCAGGATGGTCTGGTCAATATTGTACTATTTCATATAATTGCAACTGTTCATCTGACTCAAAATGCATTGGTTTATCTTCTCATAATCGATCTATATGCGTCTGTCCAATGAATAGATTTGGCTATCGATGTCTTCTTACTGATCCTATCTGCCAAAGAAATAATCATTCGATGTGTTTAAATGGTGGTACATGTATCCCTGCTGATGAATATGCATTACCACATAAAAAATTTTATTGTATTTGCCCAATAGGTTATATTGGTGAACAATGTGAAATTGCCGAGAAGAAAATTCATATTTCATTTGAAAAGAATATTATTATATCTCAAGTAATATTTATTCATTTGTTAGAAATTATTAAAGAGATGAACCCAAGAAGATCAACTATTTTAAGAACAGTGCCTATTCAACAAGATTCCGTAACAATTTATTGGTCTTTGCCATTTCATCTGATTTTTATTGAATTTAAAAATAAAAATTATTATCTAGCTGCTATTGAACGAACACAGAATCGATCGGCAACATATTTCACTATGGTAAAATCATCTGATCATTGTCCAAATATTAATCAATTATTTAATAAAACATTCGTTCAAATGCATATTATTCGTCGTATTAAATATTATCACCTACCATGTCAACAACATTCATTAAATTTTTCTTGCTTTTATGATGATATTTATCTTTGTTTCTGTTATAATTTCGAAAAACAACGTCTAGCAAACTGTTTTGAATTTAATCATAGTATGACATCTAATTGTTTTGGTCAAAGTGTTTGTGAAAATGGAGGACAATGTTTTCAAGACAGTCCTACTTGTCCACAACGAACAAGTTGCATTTGTCAACCATGTTTTTATGGAATAAGATGTCAATTTAGTTCAAATAGATTTGGTTTCTCACTTGATGGAATTTTAGGTTATTATATTCAACCAAATATTGATGTTATACATCAATCATCTATGGTCAAAATTAGTTTGGCTTTAACTATTATTTTTATAACAATTGGTTATATTAATGGAATATTATCTTTCATTACATTCAATAATAAAAAAATATGTGAAGTTGGCTGTGGTCTTTATTTATTAACTTCATCAATAACGACTTTATTCACAAGTACAATGTTCGGACTAAAATTTTTGATACTTCTTCTTGCACAAATGAAAATTATTACAAATCGTTTATTTTTGCATATTCAATGTTTATCTATTGATTTTCTCTTACAAGTTTTTCTCAATATGGATCAATGGTTAAATGCTTGTATTGCTGTTGAACGAGCAGTTGTAACCATAAATGCGATTGGCTTTCAAAAAAAGAGAAGTAAAAAAATAGCTAAAATAGTTATCATTATTCTTTCAATCTTCATTATTTCTACTTGTATTTGTGATCCATTTTATCGACGTTTAATGGATGATAAATTCGATGATGATAGCAGAATTTGGTGTATTACTTCTTATTCATCGAATTTACAAACGTTCAATATGTTTATACATGCATTTCACTTCTGTACTCCATTTGCTATTAATCTTGTCTCGACTGTGGTTCTCATCTTAAAAACATCTCATCAACAAGCAAAGACTCGAACAAATACAAAATACATAGCAATTTTTATAGAACAAATTCAAGTACATAAGCATATATTGGTTGCTCCTTTTGTAATAGTTATACTTGGAATACCACGTTTAGTCATTGGATTTGTATCAAAATGTATGAATTCAAACAATGATGCAACATTTTATCTTATTGGATATTTTGTTTCATTCATTCCACCTATGCTTACATTCATCATTTTTGTAATGCCATCGAAGTTTTATAAAGAACAACTTGGTAACGTTTGGACTAATATCAAGACTAAAATTAAACGAAATTTTACTTCTCTTTAATGAAGGTAATTAACATAATGTTTTTAGAATTGTTGATGAGTTTGATGTCGATGAACTTAGAGTTAGATTCATCTAGGAACATGCTACAAGTGAAGATGTAACTGTAGAAGAACGACACTCTACACTGATCAATATAATTATAAGGGTACATCAAAGAGTGAGGATGCTACGGTATTGTTCATCAGAAGTTGTATCCAAAAAATTGATTTTTCAAACTTTAGCATTAAAAAATTATTTTTCTGTTTCAATCTTTGTATTATTATTTCGTCTTAAATGAATATAACTCTTACTAAATTGCTACTTCTCAGAAACAGCTATATTTCACTCGCGACAAAAATGTAATATTGAAATTGAAACAAAATAAATAATTTTCTTATCATATGGTTTTAAAAAAATTAGTTTTTGTATGTGATTTTCGATTACTGTGGTGGTATACAGGCGTTAGTTCAAGTAAATGTCAGAAGGGTAAGATATCTAATTAATTCTTTAGCGGGAGTTATCATTGAACCCCTTCACAGAATAGAAGCCCACTGGGCTTCTATTATGTTTGGAAAATCATAAGTTTGAGGGTGGGCTTCTACTGTGATCCAGTTTTTCGCCGTGTACAGTAAAATCTGAAATGTTGTTTTCAATGAAAATCACACCAAGATTATAGTAAATTTATTAAAATTCCTATGCAACAGCATATATGTAGCGGTGTTTCGATTGACAGAACTTGGGGAGGAAGTCAACTACTGTTTCAAAAAATTTCTTAGAAATTTTCATAAACTGGAAATTTTCAAAGGATTTCTCGATAAGTTTTTAAGAATTTCTTAAGGTCCCCCTAAAAAAATTCACTTTTTGTCAGAATCACTGAAATTAAGACAAATATATAAGAAGATAGCCTGTCATTTGGTCTTTCATAGATGATAAAAATTCTTCTTCGGTACTCCCTTCTTTCCGAAAAATTTTCAAGATTTTTGACAACCCCTATTCGAAAAACCAGCAGTTTTTGAAAAAATCCAAAGATTTTTTTCTTTTTTTTTTCTCAAAGTTGTAGTCGAACGACGCATCTCCACCAAAAGTCAACTATAATGCGATATAAACTCAAATTTCTTTTTTTTGTTTGAAAGAGCATCAAAAACTGCAGTGCCTATGAGAGCCCTTTTTTTGATAAAGCTTTGCTATTTTTATATTGATAAGTAATTTTATTATACGAGCGCCATTTTTTGAGGGGTTTTTGAGTGATTGAACTTGTGAAGCCTTTTTTCTTCATAAAGATAAGAATTTAAAAAAGGGCCCTCATTAGCACTGCATCCTGACATGCTCTTTCATATGAAAAAACAATCAACCATATTGATTGAACATCCATAGAAAATTTTTGAAGACGCGATAAGCTGTTTTTCGACCCTTGTTTGGTTCGTATCTACCTCAGACATCAAGATAGGAAGCTAAAAATTTCACCACAGACATACTTTTACACCCCCAACATATCCTCAAAGTTTCATGCTATCTCGATGTTCTGGAGCTGAGATCGAATTTTGAGGAAGGCGGGCTTAACAAGTTTTGTAAATCGTTAAGTAAAAAAACGAAATTTTTGAAGATTAGGATGACCTAGGGCTACACCAATTTCCATTCTTGGAATGGGTAGAAATTAGTGTGAAATTGGCATCGCTTTGAAAGATTTCTATCTAGTATAAACACTCGTACGATTCTCTACGAGATACTATAAAAGCATCTTCGAATATGAGAAAAAAATTTTTTTCGAAAATTTCCCTGCGGGATGTGCAAAAAAAGTTTTTTTCCTCATTCGCCATTTCGATTTGGGTGAGCTTCTATTACATCCGGAAAATTATAGCGATGAGACTGGGCTTCTATTCCGGATGGGCTTCTATTCTGTGGAGGGGTTTACTTGAATCCTCCAAAAATATTCAGAATCATGGTATGTGTGTATGTGTAGACAAATAATATACCTATACTTATTCCCACACTTCACAACCTTATTCATTTGATGACAATAGGTATATCAGGTTTTACATTTTAGTTTCACAAGAGATTACACTAAAGAATTTTTCTTGAACGCTTTTCTATTGATAAGACAGCATAGGAAATTGAAAAAGAAGCAGAATCAGGAAATTGTCACAAACTTTTAAGATTTCTTTTTTATTCTAGTATTTAGTCTTTATGAAGTACAACAGATATAAAGTTTCTTTTTTTAGGATCACTGAAGCAACTATAATATGATAAACTCATGGCAATGAAATAAACTACCAGAACATATAACTATCTAAATATTGCTTTTTTTTATGTGTTGTAAAATTGTTGCTTAGCTTATTTTGAGTTGGAAGACTTAAAGTCATAAAAATTTCTTAGAATGTAATCTAATTTTGTTTGTCAGTAACTAATAAATAAATATAATCTTAAAGAACTTAAATACGCAAACAACTATTTTTATCCGATTGTACTTATCACAATAAACTCAAGTGAATTATATGTTCACAGAAGGATCTTCTACTTCAGTACATTCGATTAAAGAGTGGAACGACATCATACATCGTACTTAAGTCTTACTGACAACACGAAAGTAAGTATGAGTAGGTTAGGATGTGGTTCGATTGATTAGTGGAAATCACATGAACAATATGGTCTATATCCTTAGTACATAATTCTGCTTTAGTCAAGTCTTGTCTTCTATATTTTCGATCTAAGATATTTATTTGACAGATGACAATTTGTTCTATGTACCTTCCTCGATGGCAACACCAATTTTTGACTACATGAATGAATATACGATCAGTCGATAAAATCCAACTGAATTCCGAAAGAAGCAAGCAAAAAACGGATTCGACAATTAGATTTGGACGCATATACGATGATATTCCAAATCGAAGCTAATATCTATGCCAATAGTTGTGTTCCAATTAAGTTTTCATAGAGTTCTGTTCTATGATCGACAGAAAACACTAGTAAAATAATTTCATCCATAATTTTTGATTCATCATTTAATTGTTTTGAGCCTTTTATTTTCTATACACTTAATGGAATCTAATGATACTGATATAACTATTTCATTACTAATTAATTGCTACTAATGAACAAATAAGTTCTATCGAACATCTTATTATGAATTACCTATGTGCTTTTGACGAACTTTTTGCTACAACATATTTCTCTCACTAAAAATTCTTTAGAAGAATGTACTGTTTTTCTGAAATGAAGTTAATTATGTTAATCTGATCTCTCATGAATATCAATGTATTGAATGACGAGGTCTAACATGGATAACAGTTTGATTTCTGCTTTGTAAGCAATAGAGAAGAACTTAATCGAAGAAATTTGACACTATAGGTCAACAAAACATGCAGAAAGTAATATTCAATAAAATCAATAAAGTACTTTGTCAAAGCATTCTGTCAAGTGAAAATCAGTGTACTCATACAATTTTTCTTTAGCGATCTAATAGTTTCAATAAGCAAAAGAGAAAAGCAGTGGTAAGTTATCATTTACCCTAAATCTGGTCACCATAAATGCATCCTCAAACCGCATCCACATTTGTGGATAATGAAATTGAAAAAAATTAAAACTGGTAACTAAGTAGGAATTTTGATTTAGGGATTTTTTTTTTAAATATAATACGAGACAAGTTCTGATTTCCTAGATCACTATCTACATTATGTTCACATATTATGCACAATTAGACAATTAACACAGCTCTGGTGACCAGTTTTAGTCTTTGCCAAAGATCAAGTGACCAGTTACGGTTCTTTTCAGAATAACTGGTGACCAGTTCGAGTTCTTGGTTCTAGTTCAGTTTAATTACACTTCACGCTGATTGGTGTAATTTATATACACACACACAGCACTGTGTGTGGGTGAGGACACTGTGATTAAGTGATTAAACTAAACAAGTACCGAGTTCTTTTCAAAGGAACTCAGAACAAGCTTCCACTGTTTAGAGATTTCTCAAAAGAAGTAAACTGAGTTCTTAAAAGAACTGGTGATCAGACACGTTGAAAAGAACTCGAACTGGTCACCAGTTGTTCTGAAAAGAACCGTAACTGGTCACTTAATCTTTGACAAACACTGAAACTGGTCACCAGAACTGTGTTAATTGTCTAATTGTGCATAATATGTGAACATGATGTAGATAGTGATCTAGGAAATCAGAACTTGTCTCGTACTACATTTAAAAAAAAATCCATAAATCAAAATCCCTACTTAGTTATCAGTTTGGATGTGGGTGTGGGTATGCGTGTGGATGTGCGTGTGGGTCAAGGGGGAAAAAAACGGAATCCTGGAATCCTGAATTCCTCTGGATTCTTTTTTGTGGATTCGAATCGATTGTTGTGAAAATACAATTATGGAAAATAGAGGAATATCGTTTCACATATAGTTAAAATAATAGAAGTGTATATATATATATAATTTTTTTTTGTCTCTCAAGAAATCTGGAGATGAGTTGAGGAAGAAATTGAATAAAGGAAAATACGTATAGATATAATTTATTCGAATAATAAATAAAGAAGGGTAATGGTAGCAACGCGTTTCGAATTTTATCTTCGTCAGGCTATGAGGGTGCGTGGGTGTGGGTGGGTGGGTGTGAGTTTGTACTCAACTATTTACACACCCACATACATCCACACCCACGCCCACACTCACCCATACCCACACCCACACCCTCCCACACCCACACCTAAAGTCTGTCCTCAGTAGAGAAGAAGAGACGCGATGGTTTCTCCAATCTTGAAATAGTCATTGTTTTTTTTTCTGCACTAGGCGTTAGAACAATTTCCTGACATATTCGTCTTTCGAAAATAACTATGGGTTGATCTCTTGAGTTTGCTCCAGTTCTGTAATGCCGAGTTCAAATAAGAGTTTCTCCTGTATTGTTTAGTGACCAGATTCAGTCATCCAATCAATCTTTAGTGCCATATAGTTACAATATTGCAAAGGAAGTTTTTGTTCTTCTTTCCCAATATGACAAGAAATGGACGTCAAAATGGAATCCGATCATGAATCAC